ATATTAAACTGTCATCATGTAAATAGTTAATTTATAATTACTTAGAATAAATAGGGATAATTTAGTAATTTTGTACTATTATTTTTAGAAATAATCTGTCAGAGGGAACCCGAAAGGGGCGTTGTGGGGTGCTAACACCTTCCCCACACGTAACCGACTCCCTTACCCAACTCTGGTTGTAATGGCCGAAGTTGATTTATAAAATCAATTGCCTTATCCCTTTTTCCAATGTTTTGAGTAAAACATTGGTGGCGACTCCATGAACCCTTTTACTACGAAAACCACTAATCCATGGAGGGTCCCGCTTGGGATTAACATGGATTGGTGAGACATTTAATAAATAAATTGGATAAGATCGACAAGGTCTCAGTTTGAGAACAAGTCGTTCTAATAATCCAATACATTTTCAAAACTAAAATAAAAGCGAGCTCGACCGTCTTCGCGACCGCCGAGGCCCGTTTGGGCCGGTGGCGACAGAAATTCAGTCATACAGCCTCAAAAAACAAATACAAAATGCCCCTATCCAAGATCATTCATCATCCCCAACAAGTGAAGGAATGGACCACACAACAAGAAGGGAAGCCCTTACCCTTGGACCACGATGAACAACAACCCAAACAAAGCAGAGAACTTGAACGAAACAAATGGACCACAAAAAGTGAAACCCACTAAGTGGGTCATGTACGGGGAGTATAAGCAGCACTTTCTGTCTCACTTTCGTTTTTTTAGGGTTTTCAGAATCGGGTCGTGCATAACCCGACCGTGACCCGCTTCTTCTAGAATCGTGCGATTTCTTCTTGAATCGCAATTTTCTGATTCGCAACGATACAAACGATTCGAACACGATTCGTGATCAAAAACGAGTCAACGTGCAATTCAAATCACGGAGCCTCGGAATTGTATCGTATCATACGATACGAATTGCGAATCGTGCGATACTTACTACCATGCTAAAAACATATTTAAACCTATTAAAAAAATATTAAAACAAACTAATTATAACTATAATTTTAAAAAAGTATTTAGGTTTAGTATTTTTATTTTTAATTTGGGCAACCTATTATTATTAGGCCCCAATTTTACGTTTTGGGCTTAATAAAAATATGATCCATAACCCAAACCCATGAAATTAGAGTGAAATATTTGACGGGAGATGCTGAGGCCTGAGGCTACAAATCAATCTTTGGAAGCACATAAAGTTGCTCGGAAGAGAACAAAAGGTACCACAATGACTGATGGGTGGACTGACAAGATGAGGAGAACAATATTAAATTTTCTAGCTCACAATCCAAAGGGAACAATTTTCATGAAGTCTATTAATGCATCAACTATATTCAAAATAGCTGAGAAGATCTTTGAGATGATAAATGAGATTGTTGAAGAGGTTGGTGAAAAGAATGTTGTCCCAGTTGCGATGAACAATGCAGTAAATACAAAGTTGCTGGTGTTGTCCCAGTTGCGATGAATAATGCAGTAAATACAAAGCATGCTAAAAAAGTTTACAAAAGGAAGAGATTTGATTAGGCCTGGTATGACTAGATTTGCAACAACTTATTTGACTTTATCTTGTCTCCATGAAATGAATTAGTATTTGTGTAGCTATGAACCTATATGGGAAATTATTGATAAGAGGTGGGATAGTCAACTTCATAAGCCTTTGCATGCAGCTGGATATTATCTTAATCCACAATTACATTATGAAGCTAATTTTAAAAATGATGATCATGAGGTGAAGCATGGTTTGTTAGATTGTATGAAAAGATTGGTAAAGGATCCTGCAATAAGAAAAAAAAACAATATGCAATTTCTTGAGTTTCATTATGCTAGAGGGCTTTTTGGCCTGGATGATGCAAAGGAATGTAGGAAGGCAATGCTTCCTGCAGAATGGTGGGAGATGTTCGAGGATCATTGTCTAGAATTGAAAAGGTTTGTCATTCGTGTTTTAAGCTTGACTTGTAGTTCTTCTGGATGTGAGCGTAATTGAAGCTCATTTGAAATGGTAATTGAAGTTCGTGACCTTTTTATGGTTTTCAAATTTCCCTCTTTAGTTTTAGACTTAAATTAAATGATCAATTGATCATAATATTTTTGTATATTATTTTCTAGGTTCATACAAAAAGGAGAAACTGCTTGCATCAAAAAAAGATGAATGACTTTGTGTATGTCATGTACAACTTGAAGTTAAAAAGTAAAGTAATAAGGAAAACAATTACTTTTCTATTTGATGATATTCAATCAGATGATGAATGGATAGTTGAAGAGGGAGACAATGTTGGTGAAGAGAATGTTGATGTTGAGCAACCTCAAGGTGAAGGTGAAGGTGAAGGTGGAGGTGGAGGTGAAGGTAATGGTGTTAATGTGCAATTGGATGGTGGAGGTTCAAACTCAAGTAATCCAACTTTGGATGCATTTCATCTTGACAAATTGATTTTTGATGATGATCTTAGTGAGCATTCATCCGAGCAAAATGTTGATGGTGATGATGGAAATGGTGATGAAGACCTTGGAGTTGGAGATGATATTATTAGAGGATTAGACATGGAGATTTCAAGATATTAGTCATGTGATGTCTTAATTTTTTATTTGTCTATTTTTAAGAACTTGTGTTTTGTCATTTGTGTGAACTTTTGTTAAGAACTTTAGCATTTTATTATTAATGTAAATTTTTATTTTACTTATTACACGATTCATCCACTACCACCACATTCGGAAAGCATCACATCTAGCATGATAGAGTTTGTTATACAGTTATGGGATCATCCAATCTGCATCCGATTCTATTTTAATTTCCTGCACCTCTTTTATTGTATAAAAGACAACAACTAGTGTACTGGTTGAATCATCAAAAAATCAATGGAAATAATTCCATAATTTTCTCAGTAACACACCCTACGTTTTCTTCTTATGGTATCTAGAGCACCTTTCTTTGGGAGCTCTGCTATGCAGCTCTAATGGTGAGAAATTCAAACAATAATAGTTCAGGATCAGGGAGTGGTGTGGTCACTATCCTTGATCCTTCTCAAGATCCGACGAGTCATTATTATGTTCATCCAAGTGAAGGTCCTTCTAGCGTTTCTGTCACACCTCAACTTGCGGCCAAGAACTACCACTTTTGGGCCAGAATGATGCAACGAGCATTGATTGCGAAGAATAAATACAGATTTGTTGATGGAACTCTTCCAATATCCGCTGTTAATTATCCACACTATTTTGCCTGGGAAAGATGTAACAATTTGGTACACTCATGGATCATGAATTCCATCTCCTCATTAATAGGAGAGAGCGTTGTTTTCATGGAAAATGCTATAGATGTCTGGCTTGATCTAAAAGAATGATTCTCGCAAGGAGATTTGATTCGCGTTTCAGAACTTCAGCAGGAAATCCATAATTTCAAGCAAGGAAATCTGGACGTGACTGAATTTTTCACTGAACTAAAAAGGCTCTGGGAGGAGCTTGAATGTTATAGGCCGATTCTCGACTGCACTTGTCCTGTTCGATGTAATTGCCGAGCAATAAGGAATGCAAGGAATTACAAGCATCAAGATACATTTATTCAATTTCTGAATGGTTTGAATGATCATTTTAATGTTGTTAAATCACAAATATTGTTGATGGATCCTTTATCTTCTTTGAACAAAGTTTTTTCTATGATAATTCAACATGAAAGGCAGGGTAACCCAAGTCTTGGTGAAGAAACCAAAGTGTTTGCTGGAACCATTGATAATAGAAAGAGCTGTGGTAGAGGCAAAGGCAATAATAGCTAGGGATGTGGCTCGGGCAAGGTTTGTTCCTATAGTAAGAGTGGACACACTGTTGATGTGTGCTATAAAAAACATGGGTACCCTCTCAACTTTGGTTCCAATAATAATTCTACAGTACAAAATATTATCCAGGAAGAAACCGGGGAAAATGAGGATCAATCAAGAAAAGAGGATTCGAGCAATTCTCAACAAGTTATCACTCAAGAACAGTATAGAAACTTGCTTGCATTAATACAACAATCGAATTTGCAGGCTTCTTCAAGCCACACTTCCAATCAAGTTAGCACTGACCCGCCTACACAATTCCATTCATCCTCAGGTAAAACCTGCATTTTATCTTGTCCTTCAAATCAATATTCAAACTCCTGGATATTAGATTCAGGAGCCACAGATCACATATGTTGTTCATTGACATTATTTGATACCTTTCATGAAATTAAACATGTTAGTTTAACTCTACCTAATGGACATCAAACATTGGCCAAGTTTTCTGGTACAGTAGTGTTCTCTCTAACCCTTACTTTGACAAATGTATTGTTTCTCCAAGAATTCAATTTTAACCTTGTTTCTGTGTCAAAATTGTGTCGCAATTCTAATTGTCTTGCAAGTTTCTCGTTTAAAAACTGTCAATTACAAGATATGAAATCCACGAGGATGATTGGTTTGGCTAAACAAGTGGGAGGTTTGTACTTGCTAAAGGCTAAAACTCAAGAGAAAATGGCAGAGGTTCAAGTTAGCAACATTACAACAGAAAGTATTCCAGAATCAAGTCTGTGGCACTTCAGGTTGGGGCACCTTTCACATGAGAGATTAGAAACTATGTCTAGGGAAAATCCTATCATTTTTATTAACAAGTATGCTGTTTGTGATATTTGTCATTTGGCAAAGAAAAAGAAATTACCATATTTGATGAGTAAAAATAGAGCTTCTAAAATTTGTGAGCTGTTGCATTTTGACATATGGGTCCCTATCAAATAAATTCTGTTCATGGTCATAAGTATTTTCTTACTGCCTTAGATGACTATAGCAAATTTTTTTGGGTTATTTTGATGAAATCCAAATCTAAAGTGAGCACACATTTGCAAAATCTTGTTCACATGTTGGAAAGACAATTTGGAAAAAAAATTAAAATAATAAGAACTGATAATGGCCCAAAATTTACCTTGACATATTTTTATGCAAAGGAAGGAATTATACACCAAACATCTTGTGTAGAATGTCCTGAGCAAAATGGAAGAGTAGAAAGGAAACACCAACACATTTTAAATGTGGCTAGGTCATTGTTGTATCAAGTTCATCTGCCTAAGCAATATTGGGGATATGCAGTTACACATGCTGCATACATTATGAACAGAATTCCAAGCAAAATTTTACAAAATCATTCCCCTTATGAGCTATTCTTTGGAAACAAACCAGATTTGGAAAATCTGAGAGTTTTTGGGTGTTTGTGCTAGCACCTTACAAGTTCAAAGAAGTAAATTTGACCCAAGGTCTCGTAAATGTGTTTTTTTGGGATATAAGCCCACTACCAAGGGTCATATTTATATGGACCTTGACTCTAAAGATTTTTTGTGTCTTGAAATGTTGTTTTCCATGAATTGATACTTCCTTATAAGTCCCAAAACTCACCAAAATGGGCTTATACAGAACCACACACAAAACGAAATCGATCGCCTCAACCTTCACCACATACATATAACCATATTTCTTTACCTATTGATTTGGACCCATCACCACCTCATCAACCTTTCCTTAATTCACCCGCAAATCCAACCACCAACATTTCACCTAATAAGCCTGCTGCCCAAACAAATTTTGAACTTAGAAAGTCATCAAGGATCAGGCATCCACCATCACACCTGGCTGATTACATCTGTGAAACTCCCACTTGTGCAGCGAATCAATCTTCCCCAGGTACACCTCATTCCTTGTCTATATTCACTTCTCTTTCTCATCTATCTCCTTCACATTATTCTTTTACCTTTTCTTTGCTCTCTGAGACTGAACCTAGAACTTATGAAGAGGCTTCCAAATTCCCTTGCTGGATTGATGCTATGCAAGTAGAAATACAGGCTCTTGAGGATAACAAAACCTGGGTCTTAACTGATTTACCAGCTGGAGTAATCCCCATTGGAAATAAATGGGTATTCAAAATTAAAAGGCGTGAAGATGGAACAATTGAGCGTTACAAAGCACGCTTAGTGACAAAAGGATATACACAAATTGAAGGGCTTGATTATTTGGATACATTTTCTCCTGTTGCTAAGATTACAACCGTGAGAACACTTCTTGCTGTTTCTTCTATAAAAGGGTGGTTTTTACATCAATTAGATGTGAATAACGCTTTCTTACATGGAGAGTTGGAAGAAGATGTCTATATGCTGGTTCCTCAAGGTGTTAAACAGTCTTATTCTAATCAAGTGTGCAAGCTCACCAAAAGTTTATATGGGTTGAAGCAAGCAAGTAGACGTTGGTATGAAAGGCTTACAACATTGTTATTGTCTTGTGGATTCAGCCAAGCACACTCAGATAGTTCACTCTTTGTTAAGAAGACTTCTCTCACTTTCACAGCTTTGTTAGTATATGTCGATGACATCATACTAGCAGGGATTCACTTGCAGAATTTAACCATATCAAAGGGATTCTAAATGATTCTTTTAAGATCAAAGACTTGGGTCAGCTAAAATACTTCCTCGGGCTCCATGTTTCTCATTCTCAACTGGGAATATATGTTTGTCAATATAAATATTGTCTTGATCTTTTAAAAGATTCTGGTCTCCTTGGTTCAAAACCAGTTCGCACTCCTTTGGACCCTTCGGTGCAACTACACCAAGATGGAGGCAAGTTGTATGATGATGTTCCTTCTTACCATCGCTTAATTGGCCGATTACTCTATTTGACCACTACGAGGCCCGATATTACTTTTGCCACACAGCAGCTTAGTCAATTCTTATCAAGACCCACATATGCTCACTTTCATGCTGCTCAAAGCCCTCAGATATTTAAAGACTTCACCAGGCAGAGGTCTATTCTTTCCAAGGTCATCATCATTGCAAATTTTTGGTTATAGTGATGCAGACTGGGGAGGTTGTATTGATACTCGTAGATCCATCTCGGACAATGCTTCTTCCTTAGTTCATCTCTAACTTCTTAGCGGAGCAAAAAGCAAAGTACTGTCTCTAAGTCTTCATCCGAGGCAGAATATCGTGCTTTATCTGCAGCTACTTGTGAATTACAGTGGATTGTTTTTGTGAAGAAATTGGTAAGAGACGCATTAGTCCAGCTTGTGATTTCTCCCAACTAAATGACAATCAATGTCAAGATGTTTGGTACGTTCGTGAAAGACTGGATTTGCTGCGATATGAAGTGCACTTTGATTGTCACAATACAATACTGGTGGCCTAAAGGATTGCTAGCTATGAGTTCTTGGCTAAGCTAGGATTGCTAGACATTTTTCATCCTCCAGCTTGCGAGGGGGTATTACACAATTCATCCACTACCACCATATCCAGAACGCATCACAGCTAGCATGATGGAGTTTGTTATACAGTTATGGGATCAACCAATCTGCATCCGATTCTATTTTAATTTCCTGCACCTCTTTTATTATATAAAAGACAACAACTAGTGTACTGGTTGAATCATCAGAAAATCAATGAAAATAATTCCATAATTTTCTCAGTAATACACCCTACGTTTTCTTCTTATTACACTTTAATATGGCTTCATGAGATTACGTAAACTCTCAAGATTGAGAACCTTGGATAGATGGGATAGCCAACTTCACCGACCATTACATGTTGTAGCCTATTATTTGAACCCCGAATTGCATTGTGGCCCTAACTTCAAAGTTGATTTGGATGTAAAAAAAGGTCTAATTACATGCATACAAAGGATGGTGCGGGATGATGATGAACAAACTTTAATTGATGTTCACAAAGAAGATTTCAAGAATCAAAACTTGATGTTTGGTCATCCTATGGCCATTAGAGCAATTGGAAAGAAAACTAAAGTAGCTTGGTGGGAGGCTTATGGAGATGAACATCAAGAGCTCCAAAAGTTTGTTATATGTGTTCTAAGTTTGACTTGCAAATCTTTTGGATGTGAGTGTAACCGGTGTTCCTTCGGGATGGTAATTAAAGTTATAAAACAGAATTAGTAGTAGTTGAGTATTAGTAAGTTGCTTAATTCATACCAATTACCATATTTGCATTTTTCTTTAGGTCTACACAAAGAAGAAAGCGTTTGAAGCAAAAGATAATGAATGATGTTTTTGTTATGACTAATTTAAAATTGGCTAAACTGCCTAACAAAAGCAAGTTAAAAGACAATTATTTAAGATTGAGTTATCTAAAGATTTATTTGATGATCTTTCATCTAATGATGAATGGCTTATGGAAAATGATGACAACGAAGTGGAAGTGGAAGAGAATGAAGAATTGGATCCTCCAAATCCGAATGAGGTGGTCTGCCACCTCTAGATGAGGCTTATCTTGCTAATAGTAATATGGTTAATGAAAGGAAAGGAGAAAATGATGAAAGAAATAAGGATATCTTAAGTGATTACAATTTTAATTAAGATGATTTACTTTAGCCATAGGATTAGTGTATTAGAGGTTTAAACTAGGTGCAAGTGGCTTAAGTACGTTTTGATATTGCAATGCAGAAGTTTTTTTGTTGGTTGTTTCAATTTTTTATGGAGTTTAGTTGTTGACTTTTTTATAATTATAAATGTTATTATGAATTTAAGCTTAAATTACGTATTCTTTATGTTATGATGGCCTTTTACCCTCTTATTTATACTATTTTAGATGCATATATATAAGAATAAAGAATTTATATGCATATATTTGGATTTTATAATTTTAGCAGAATCTTACATTTTGTGTTACGAGTTCATGATTTATGATTTTGTCACCTAGTTTCGAGTCGAACTAAAACCCCGATTTTGACTACCTTGATTATATGCATAAGTATTATGAATATTGATTTTCATCTGATGTAACTAAACAAATTCACAAAATTAAATTTGAAGTAAAAAACACTAGTTAAGAGATAATATAAAAGGGTCAAAAGGATAAAATGATGATCACTTGATCAAAGCCCAATACAAGATTTCCTTAACGGAAATATCTACGGTAATTAGAAAGTTGGACTTGGGTCAAACCAAAGATAAAATTATTGTTTTGTGTCACCCTGTAGTTATGAGTAAACATTAGTATGAACTAAGTATGAAGAGAGTCCTCAATGACTAGTTATCAAAAGAAGACCAGGTATACAAGTAGTGTTGCCTACCTTCATATAAGTATATTGGAGGCATAGTATCACTACCTGCCCACAAGTATATAAAATAAGTAAAATCATGCAATTAGATAAGATATTTAATAAGTATATATATTTGATCCTGTGTGTATATTGATTCTATGTGCAAGATCAAAATACTCTGCTCAATCATATCACTCCTTTAATAATGCTAATTATAATTGTTACTATACATGCATAAAAAGTTATATTTGAGGGACAAATAAGAAACAAACATACCAGTATGCCTTTGGACAATAAGAAAGTGAACCTAAATAACTTAACTGAAGCTTCTTGAGATTGTCTTTACATGCCTCAAAAATCAGTCCATGATTGAAATTCCAAAGCTGAAATCAAATTCAAGTGCAAAAGGTAAGTCAATAACTATTTAAAATTATCTTCAAGTCCAAAGGTGAAACTATCCCAAAAATCTTAAAATTCACCAATCTCCCGAGACCCTCCACCTCCATATAACAATAAACAAAAAAAAAATGTAAAAATTGCAAACTGCATACTTCTCTCCTGCAACATGTGACAGAACAAGTAAGCATCATAAAATAGCAAAGTTTAATTTCAGTAGTTTAAAAACCGAATAAGTAGTTGGAGTCAATCAACATTACTCAGTTATTAATGCGTAATAATCATAAAGATAAACTTGCATATGCAACTTGAATCAGACTCGCATGATCAAAGAGTGTTTGTAAAATAGCACCGAACCAGAGAAAATTAGGAAAATCCTTAACAAATCGCAATACACGAAGTCTTGCGATCTTGACGGCAACAATCTCAAAGGTATCATATTGCTTCACTGCAACAAAAATAAAAATAAAAAATGAAAGATAATTGTTTTTACTGACAGCCACAATCTCAAAGGTGTTATATTTAAAAATTATTTATACAAAGGTGTATCTAGTGAGGAGTTAATTTTCATAAACCATATATGAATGGTTAAAATTATTTACTTAAATCTAATATTGATGCTTTAATTTATTATTTTCAAAAAAGCGGATAAACAAAGTGCACTTGAGAAAAGGGCAGCAAATGGCCAGGGGCTGTAGGGTTGGCATCTAGGCCGTCATCAATGAATTTTTTTTTTTTGTGTAATTTTATTTATCATTATTTTTAGAGGCCTAGCAGCAAGCAGGTATGGCACTAGGTATGCAACAAATACTTGACGACCCTTGCAATGCTAGTGATATTAAAAATGGGAACTATGCACTTGCAGAGCAAGCACATGAGACAGACATCTTTTGTCAGTTTTTTTTATAGCCTAATTAGCATAAGAACCAAAAAGGAAGGGAAATTTTCAAAAGAAAATTATGGAATACTTTTTGCAGATAAGATTATAAATAATAAAAAGCAAACCTTTGGAACCTTGAGGCCAGCTCTGCTCAAACATCAGCTGTAAGTGGCAGAATGGGACCATCATTGCACAGAACGACTGCATCTCTAGAAATTATACTTTATGGGGCACCCTTTGAGAACAAAACATGCATATTGTTCCAGCTACAAACGACACTCATCATTTTCTGATATTGAGAAAATTCCAAAACATGTATTTGCAAAGCATGAAGCTCGAAGTGTGAAGCAAATGAGAGTTACTTACTTCAGAGCAGAAAACTGATTTTATTATTTTCAATTAGTTTAGACAAACACATTGAAAAGTAAGAAATTGTTTATTCATTAAAAAATGATTTTTAAAAACAAAAAAAAATTTAAACAAACAGACCCATTATTGTTGCAATTTCCATTTGTTGGAAAGCCACCATAATTGAAGTCACCTTTAACCCTACTTAGTTGTGGCCACTTTGGGCTGCCTTAATTGCAGTGTCAAGGTTGGTATTTAGTCTTTCATTGACTAGAAATATGACTTTAATAAAATTTTATCAGTATCCACATTAGAAGCTAGTTTTGTGAGTAGACTTGTGCTCTAAAGTCCAAATTCTGAGACCATTATAAGTTAATGCTTTGATGATAAACATGAATCATTCATGCTGCTATACCATTGCCACCATCAGTAGAGAGTAGTAAATCATCTTATCATAAAAAACAATGCAGCTTCATTTTATCTTCTAACTTATCACAAAAAACTATTAAGTTCTTGGAAATCATGCTACTATATAATGAAAACAATGCTTGAATTCACCGTAGAAAAAAGAAACACTTCTTGTACTTCTTGTCAACATATAATGAAATAATACGGAAACATGATCATTGAAATTTTCATACAGCGAATTTGTATCCTCAGTCATCATTCCTGTTCTTGCACCCGGTCTAAAAACAAGAAAACGCAAGTTCAAGAAAGAACCATGACCCAGATAGAGGGATCAAAAACAACAATAAGAACAGCGAAAGAGTCCAGTGTCATTGCATTCCAAACAGAAGAAAACAAGAATCAGAAAAAAAAAGAAAAAAAGAATGGAGTTCAATTCAAAATCAGAGAAGGACTCCAGTCTCATTGCATTCCAAACAGAAGAGAAAAAAAATCAGAAAAAATAGAAACAATAATCGAGTTCAATTCAAAATCAGAGAAGGAAAAGAAATCTCAATCGTGTTAAAGAAGACAAAAGAAAAGAAATGCAAGAGATGGAAGAGGTATTGTGGAAGATGAGATAACAAAGAGGAAAACGAGAATCAGATAAAGAAAAGCAATCCATTTATGAAAGGCTCTACTTATACTTGAGCGTGTTCTTCTGCTTCTTTGCGTTGGCTTACCGTTGTTTCTCTTCGGCCATTTAAACTTCAAAGAGAGAAGAAGCAGACAAAAGAGGCGCGACACACTACAGAACGCTTAAAATCCTAGTGAGTAACGAACACAAACAATTGAAAAGTGGAAAACCCAAACGAATGATGAGTGAAACAGAGTCACACAATATATTGTGTTATAAATCGAGAGAGGGGTTAAAGACACCGAGTGAGGCGGTGGAACGGATTGTGAATTCGTTCGGTGGAAGAGAAAAGGTATAATAGGCTTATTTTGTCGAACAATTTCTCGTATTTATTAGTAAGTTAATACTATTAAATATTTTTTAAAAAAATTAGTAACAAAAATTGCAACTTAACTAAACAATCCTTTTAAATTTCAAAAATAAATATTAAAATTCTTTTCATTGTTATAATTTTGTTTATTCTAATATAAATATAAAAATAAATATTTATTTTATGTAATTCAGATTTATAAATAATAAATATTTCTATATAAAAATTATATTTTAAATTTATTATAAATAATTTATATTGCTATATAAAACTCTTTTAATCATTGAAATTTTTTAAATATATTAATATTAAATTTAACAAATAACAATTGATAAAAACAAAAGTGATCAAAGAAACTCTTGAAAAACATTTTCACTAAAAAAACTTCCTAAACTTGTTTAATATAATTATTCTAATTTATATATAAACAGTTTTTAAAATCTTTACTATATAATAAATTTTTACAGAAAAATAATCTAAAAATAATCTTATTCTACTTTTTTTTCCTTTCTATTTCTTTTCATACACCCCTTTAGTGGTCTCATTTTAAATAAAACAATAAAGAATTTGATTTCAAAAATTAAATTAATATAAATTTATAGTTATTAAATGGATAATCAATAATTAATATTTTAATATTTTTTCTTCTAAAAGAAAAAGCAGACCTGTGAAGTATAATTGTATAAAATAAATTGAATTTTTCTAAAGTTTAAATTAATCCATGCACTTAGTTTTTATAAAAGCTTTCTAATTTTTTTTACCAATAAAAATTACAATAATAATTTTAAAGTTCAAACTCCATATCTTACATATATAATTGTAATCTCTCACCATTAAATACACCCTAGTAATTTAGAAGCACTCTTATTTAATTATTCTTTATGCTATAAGTTGATACGAGAAAAATTTATTTAAACTTTAAAAAAAATGATTATAAAATTATTATTTATTTCTTAAAAGATTAAAAATTGCATATTTTTAAAATAATCAATTTAGACAAACATAAAAAAATATTTTATTAATGAAAATTAAATAAAATAAATGGATCATTAATATATAGAAAGAAAAAAAATATATTTTGCACCAATTTATGATACATATTAAAAGAATATAATAAACTCTATATTGTCGGCTTAAAATAATTTTGAAAATAGAAACAAGAAAGGCATGATCTTTTCTACAAGTTTTTCTTTTTAAAAAATAATTTATTCCGGTGAATGATCATATTGGATTAAACATGTCACTTTAATTCAAATTCAAATTTTAAAAATTAAATCTATACGTAACGAAATAGGATTAAACGACCCACTAATTAGCTCAACCAAAATATATGCATGCTATACTCTATTACAAATAAGAAGAAAAAAGGAATAGCACAGTAAAATTAAAAATAAAAAAAAAACTAATTTCACAAAAGATTATCTCTCACTTTAATTACACAATGAATACATTTCTAAGAATTATCAAAATAATCTTAATAACATGTAATTTTTCAGTATGTGATTTGAAGATAGATATTTTTATTTAGTGATGTAGTTTGATTTGATATATCCACTAATATTTAAATTAAAAAAATTATTTAAATAAAGATATTTTTAATAATAATTATTTAATAATAATATGAAAAGAATAAAAGTTTATAGTTAT